GAGGGGAAGGAAGAGATGAGACACGCCCTCGTCGCTGCCGGCGTGGGCCGGGGCGGCGGGGCGGGGAAACCAGCCGCTGCAGGATCGGAGCAAGGCGGAGATCGACTCCAGCAACCACAGGGGTCGGTGCAGCCACATCAGCAACAGCCATCGCATTTCTGCCAGCTCCACGGCCCCAACAGCACCCACGAGACCTCCGAATGTCGCAAGCTACGCAACGAATTCCTCGCCCACTACAACGAGTTCTGCGCGTACATGAGCGGGAGGCGGGAGGCCCAGGGGTCGATCTTCCCTCGAGGCGGAGCTCAAGGCTCGGGGCGGATGGTTGGTGGCCCCTCTCGACAGCAGCCGTACCAAAACGAACAAGGTGCGGGCTGGAGTCGGAGCCACTCTCCAGCGCTGCCGGGACCGCCGCGTGGGCCAGGATCCGGAGCTGGAGGACAACTGCAGGGGCGCAACTCTGGGGGGCGTGGGTATGGTGGATACGGCCCTTGCCCCCCGGAAAGCCGAGGTCGTCAGGTGGGCGGCCGTGGTGGTAATTGTCCGCCGTCCAACGTTCCTCCCGCGCAGATTGCCAACGTACCGCGGCACTATTTTCCGGCTCATTTCGCCGTCGGAGGTGGAGAACCGTCGGGCGGCGACATCACCTCGGGATGTGAGGCCACGTCAGCGCCCGGATCTACACACAGCTGGATCCAACCACCTCCTGAGACAGGCTACGGGTACGGGCTCGCGGCTCACGGAGTGGACCATGGCGGAGGTCCCTACGGCAGCGCCGCCGGCGGGGGATACGGTTTCCACCAATTGCCCGACGGCGGAGGGCTCTACCAGCAGCAAGAAGTGAGCAGTATACCACGCTATCCTTCTGCTCCCGGACCGGACGCCCAACAACCACGAGCCTACGAGGCCTTCGACACCTCGCAGCAGCATCAGCAGCAGCAGCACTACGGTGCACCCCAGGCGACCACTTCTTCCTCCTCTCCCGCTCCAGCTCCAGGCGACGCTCTACCTCCAGCCTGCGATTCCCCTCTTCGTCTTCTCATGGCACGTGGCGTGTGCCCTCGAGGCAAGTCTGAGATTGATTTTGGGAAGGATGTTGGTTTTTCGATGTCTAACGTGTTCACAAGTGCGGAGTCTGATGTGTCAATGCCTGGTGTTCCCCGCGTGCCTGCTGTGCATGAACGTTCTGATGATGAGCTCGGTGTCTCGAAGTTTGGTGTGTCTACTCATGATGTACCCCGCGTGCCCGTTGTATTTGAGAGTCCTAATGAAGTGGTTGGCGTTTCGGAGTGTGATGAATCTGTCCCTGCTGTACCAAGTGTGCCTGGAAAGGTAGTCGTAGCCCGTCTCACCCGCCGTCCCACGGTTGAAAAAGCTTTCTTGTGCCAACCCTCCATGCCGAATCCGATTGGAAGTGAACAATGGCAGACCGATTCTGGAGCTAGTGCAATGATTTCGAACAAAGTGGATGCAATGTACAA